CGTCAGCAGCTAGAACGCCACACGAACAGCGACAGTTCGACAAATAGTTGGAATTATCTCCTATAATGTCTAGACAAACCTGTGATGCAACATCAACTTGGTTGGCCGGTCTCGATATAGATGTAGGCTCAGATTCCAAAATATTTGGAGCAATGAGATCCCGCTGTAACTCTGAATTTTCCGACAGGGCTTGCACTTGTTTACAACTCGACTTCATAACACCGTCCCGTGTCTGACAGAATTTGACACATCCATCCCGAATTAGGTTGCCATCTTTGCCTTGAAATAATAAAGTGTTTTGCTTGCCTGAATACCACGTCAAAGTTAGTTCAGCATTGGAACTTGTGAACCTTTTAGACCCACCTCCAGGAGAACACCATTTCCCGTTTAGGTCAAGCACTTCGGCAACAAACGCCTTAAGAGAGTCTAAGTCATTGCACCATTTCAAACGTGTGCCCTCGTAAATAAGATCGTTGCTTAAAGCATTACCAAGAAAATCAATACCGATAGTTGATGAATTAACTATTTCTTTACGAGATTTATCAAATAATGGTGGAATAATATCGGAGCTCGCCATAACACGTCTGGCCGCCATGACTTTTAACGGTGTCTCGTGGAATCTGTACTTACACTCGTCGTTTGGACTCGTGAAATTTTGACAGTCTTTGAAAAACTCACTCATGCATGCACGCCACTCAGTCAATTGCAGTGTACCTTTACAAGGAGTTGCACTAATCTTGTATGTACCGATGCATAGTTTTGACTCGATATTTCTACCTATACGAAACACTTTCTACATCAGTCTGTCTTGTTGATTTACATGCATGCTCAAATTTTAGATTACGTTTACTTATAGACTTATCTGATGCAACCACTGCTATTCGCTATCTCAGAGATAAACTTTAATTTTGTTACGTTCAATTTACCTGCTGGTGAAAAGGACTCAAGATTTACATCAGTCAGCTTTGATAATGAGAGTTCATTTAGGATTTGCGGCTAAGTACTGAATGTAAATTAGTTTCGATAATACTTTAAGGCCACATAAAAAAAATAGTTGGTTAGCGTCCCCGCCCGCCCACAAAAAAGTCCCCGCTCAGGATTTTTTTAAATTTTATATTTAAAAAAAAAAAAACTTTTATTGATCAACCACTCTAATATATGTACTATTTCTGTTGACTGTAGTCAATTGTGTTAATAATTTGCGAAATTGCGTGTGAAAATGACGGTATGAATCATATTTTGAAATATATAAAAAAATATCTGTACTGCGCAAGAAAATCCAGTTTCGGACCTAACAGTGAGTAAAACCAAGCCGTTAAAAATTAGTAAAAATTAAAAAAAAAGCGCCCGCCCGCCCACTTTTTGGCAAAAGCTAAGGACGCTAACCAACTATTTTTTTTATGTGGCCTAAAGGAAAATATCATAAATTCCAAATGAAAACCCTCACACCCATAGTTCTTACGACTAAATATACCAAAGTAGTAATAGACCCCACTCTGGAGTACAAAGGGATGCCGCCAATGACGTCACATTGCTCCGAAAGTAATTAGTATGCAAACTTAGGTGTCGGAAGTAATTAGTATGCAAGATATGTGACGCAACTTTGCTGGCCCTAACCCTAACCCTGGGCCAACTGTGACAGGTAGCGCGACCAATTAACGCGGGCAGGCCTGGGCCAACTGTGACAGGTAGCGCGACCAATTAACGCGGGCAGGCCTGGGCCAAATGTGGCAGGCGATCGATTAGCAACACAACTAATTTCTGACAAATTTGTAATAAAACGACAAGAGATTTCTCATAGTTTGCATGTGTAAATGTATGAAATAGAAGTTAGTTTTTAAAATCTACTGTTAGCTCAGTTGGAAGAGCAAAGGACTGTAGTTATTACCAAATCAGTATTCCTTAGGTCACCGGTTCGAACCCGGTACGGTAGAAATTTTTTTTTTGCCTTACAACCATGTAGCAACGTTGTGAGTCCATCTCTTATTTTCAACACGCAATTGAAATTCGTTTTAATTTTTTAATGAATTTGATGGCTCGTTTTGAGCAATAAGTTTCCAAACAGAAATAAAAAATATCGCAAAAGAAATAAGCAGTTGCTAATCCCGGGTTGTCAAAGCCGTTGTTATGATCGCTACTTGCATGTTGTTCAACATTATTTAGCAAACCCGCATACATATATACGGTCAAGATGACCGAGTCAGATAGAATACTTGAAGGAAATAACCTGTAGAACAATTTAACAGTCTTAGTTGTAATATTTTTTGTCTATTATTTGTATTAAAAAACATGTTTTAAACTTTGCTGCGTTGTTATGTGTTGCCAAGTGATTATGTGGCGTGTAGGTAATTAAGGGATTAGGCGAACAAAAAATTTGCATAACTACATGTATCCCGATGGATAGATAGGCCTAAGATATTGATATCCTAAGATACTGATATCCTAAGATATTGATATCCTAAGATATTGATATCCTAAGATACTGATATCCCAAGATATTGTTATCCTAAGATATTGATATCCTAAGTGATATCCTAAGATACTTGATATCCTAAGATACTGATATCCTAAGATATTGATATCCTAAGATATTGATATCCTAAGATATTGATATCCTAAGCTGATATCCTAAGATACTGATATCCTAAGATACTGATATCCTGATATCCTAAGATACTTATATCCTAAGATATTGATATCCTAAGATATTGATATCGTAAGATACTGATATACTAAGATACTGATATCCTAAGATACTGATATCCTAAGATATTGATATCCTAAGATACTGATATCCTAAGATATTGATATCCTACGATACTGATATCCCAAGATATTGATATCCTAAGATACTGATATCCTAAGATACTGATATGATATCCTAAGATATTGATATCCTATAAGATATTGATATCCTAAGATATTGATATCATAAGATACTGATATCATAAGATACTGATATCCTAAGATACTGATATCCTAAGATATTGATATCCTAAGATACTGATATCCTAAGATACTGATATCCTAAGATATTGATATCCTAAGATATTGATATCCTAAGATATTGATGTCCTAAGATATTGATATCCTAAGATATTGATATCCTAAGATACTGATATCCTAAGATATTGATATCATAAGATACTGATATCCTAAGATACTGATATCCTAAGATACTGATATCCTAAGATATTGATATCATAAGATATTGATATCATAAGATATTGATATCCTAAGATACTGATATCCTAAGATACTGATATCCTAAGATATTGATATCCTAAGATACTGATATCCTAAGATATTGATATCCTAAGATACTGATATCCTACGATACTGATATCCCAAGATATTGATATCCTAAGATACTGATATCCTAAGATACTGATATCCTAAGATGTTGATATCCTAAGATATTGATATCCTAAGATACTGATATCCTAAGATACTGATATCCTAAGATATTGATATCCTAAGATATTGATATCCTAACATAATGATATCCTAAGATACTGATATCCTAAGATACTGATATCCTAAGATACTGATATCCTAAGATACTGATATCCTAAGATATTGATATCCTAAGATACTGATATCCTAAGATACTGATATCCTAAGATACTGATATCCTAAGATATTGATATCCTAAGATACTGATATCCTAAGATACTGATATCCTAAGATACTGATATCCTAAGATATTGATATCCTAAGATACTGATATCCTAAGATACTGATATCCTAAGATACTGATATCCTAAGATAGTGATATCCTAAGATATTGATATCCTCAGATATTGATATCCTAAGATATTGATATCCTAAGATATTGATATCCTAAGATACTGATATCCTAAGATATTGATATCCTAAGATATTGCTTTCCTAAGATACTGATATCCTAAGATATTGATATCCTAAGATATTGATATCCTAAGATATTGATATCCTAAGATATTGATATCCTAAGATACTGATATCCTAAGATATTGATATCCTAAGATATTGAT